TTCACTTGCTCGGATCCAGACGATTCTGAGCGATGTCATTTAAAGTCTCTAACCATTGGTTACGATAACCACGCGGACCCCGACCAGGTAGTCTGGAGCTACCTACATGACATAGTCCACAGTAGTTGGTATGTTCATGGATTGATGCCATGTTTTGGTTTGACAACCTCTAGCTTTCTAATAAACTCCTACGTTAGTCATCACATCGTGAGTTACATTGGCCGGTGGATGGACATATGTAATACATATCCCAACTATGTCAGTCGATAAAGACTCACCACCTCGTCAAACGGTTCACCATACTTATCTAACATTCTGAGCCCAACCTCAAAATTGATAGCAACATTAAGTTAAAGTTGGTCTTATTGGGAATTCGAAAAAATATTGAGTTTTCTTGGTTGGTGTGCCGTTTTCATCACCATCTTATTGCCCTATTCATATCTATATCCATCAACTATCATGCTTATTGTAAATAAAAACATGTTAAATTCTGTACTCTCTGAACAATTTATAGCTTTGATAACCTTTCTCAATAAAACGTTTTTGAACATTTCCTAGTTAATGCCTTAATCTGAATAAACAGCTGTTTGCAGTGCACTATAATTTCCACTAGTTTTCTAGTTGATATCAGTTCGTTTTGAATATCGAGAATCTAATACATCTATACAAATCATGTATTTAAACAAACAAAAATGCATCGCGTAAACGTAAATGAAGCGTTTCTAACCATTCATTAGTTTCTATTACGTTTTCTGAATAGTTTAACGCATATCTTTTATATAACCCTAACAGTATCAGCATCTACTTTGACAAACTGGACATCGATGACCATAAGAAATTAGGAGCTACAAGTAAAGACGGCTGGACATATACCTAAATGGCTGCTAAAACAAATGGATTGCAATGGTCAAACAAGATCACAGAATAGACAAATATCTTCCTTCATTGGAAAATATTTTGTTGAAACGGGTTACAGGTTTAAAAGAAAGTCAACCTTCATAGCGTTGTATAAAATGTCTCAGGAGCGTATACTAAAATTTATTAAAGCCTTCAGTATACTAAGACTGAAACCCCGTTAATTTGCTTAAAACCAATTTGTTCCTACCCTTGACTTACCCTGGTAATACTGGTTGATTATCCAGCATGACCTTCACATTATGTACTTTATTATTATCTTTATTTAACATTACGTTTAAGTTTGTCTAGTTGGCCTTTTATTTTTCAAATATAATTTCTTAACAAGTTTATGTATGATCAGACTGTTCAACATGCATCACGCAAATATACCACACTATTCTGATAACCATCGTCTTCCCATAGAATTATCCATATATATTAGTAAAGCGCCATGATCAGGAACTAGCTTTATTTCTGAACGTCTAAATGGGATTTTCTGTTTTACGGAAAAAATTTGTTGATAGACTACCGCTATAAATACGGTCGGGCAGTTTTTGACAAATGACATTTTTGAAAATATTTTCGTTAGAGTATCTTTACCGTCTCCCGAAATTCTGTTAGAGAGACGTGCATGCGTTTGCTCGTCTATGTATGTATATGTATGTATGTATGTTTGTATGTATGTATATGTGTATATATACGTAAGTGTAGAACAAAAATAATGGATATGGCGCTACTGGAAATTCACTAAAGGCCCAGTTTTAAAAAATACTGGGTCAATATTGATAAATATATTATCAAACTGTCCAATTGATACCAAAAGCACTTGAGATAATATAACATTCAACGATAAACTTTGTTATGTAGCGTAAACTAAGACACACGTGCACACTCGTGAAGCTAAAATCAACGGATGTCGTTATATTAGAGTTTTCATTGTTATGTAGCCTCTTTTATCCGGTAGGACGTGGATACTACGTGATCAGTAATTAACTAATTACAGATCCAATAGTTATCGATAGTCGATATTGATCAAGTGAGTTATAAATATTTAAATCCACCAAATGATCGAACTAGAAAGCATATTTCCTTACTCTTCCAAAGCAATTATTTTAAAATAAATGGGAATTAGAATATATCACAAATCATTTAAAAGTATTAAAAGTGGTCGGTTGTAAGATTTACAGGTCTTCTTTGCAGTAAGCAAATCAGAATGACAAAACAATTATTTGATTTTTCTATTTATTCTGTCAAAAAGTCAAAGAAAACAAGAAATTTGGGACAAATCTATGCCAGTTCAAGTTCCCACATTTTAAAAAAAGTACAGTGAGAGCAGAAAGTAACAAGATGAGAAGCGTGGAAAGGGAAGAACATTGAATCCAATGGAAAGTTAAGCTTAATAAATATTCCCCAGAAAGAAATGAGAAGAAAGGACCAACACCGAACTCAGTATGTAAAGTAAAATATAGAATGGGGACAACTTCACCACTGAGAACGATGCAGAAACATGACATTTGGTGTCTTCAGCAATACAGTGAGAATCTCAAGAATCTCAATTCAGAAATCTACATTAACCAGTTAGCCTGAAACCAAACAATGGTTTCTTTCATTCATCTTGTCTTGATTTGACTACTTCCACCTTTTTCCAAACCTACTTATATGTCAGCTAGCATTTCGTGTCCAGGTACGTAATGGCTATTTGTAGGTACTATCTATAGATGTATAAAAGAACGGAACAATGCAACTAGTTGCGTTGTTATCACAGATTTGATAGTTTCCTCAGAAATTGGCAGATCATAGGTTAAATAATTTCTTGACTTTAAAGATTTTTATGATACTGTTAAGCCTCATATCCTGAAGTTAATTTATCCATCTTATGATATTTTAATAATTATAGTAATGTAGCAATATAACTCAGTAACAAAACAAAAATTAATGTAATTAAATCTATTATATGACGGATAGTGATACTTTTTGACTGGTTATGTATGTGTAAATGGAATTTTAGACTCATGGTTTACAAAATTAAAATCCAGAGTCTTAACCAACAAGTCTTAGCCCCATTATTATTATTTGACCACATAGATATTGGTACAAGGAGGCACCAGATACATATGCGCCAAACAAATCTCATTAGGTTTGTGTGATACTGCCCGGGTGCCCAAACAGAAGCAGGTGGTTTTCTTAAGAGGCCACACGCGGAGCCTTCGATCTAAAGATCTGATCCACAAGGCAATGGAACAACGTCAGGAGATGCAGTCCCACGGGGAGCCGGTGACCGACGATTGGTTCATACACCATTTGTTTCCCCAGGATATTGGAGCTCATGTGCACCATTGGTTTGAAATCAGGGTTTTCCAACTCCCCTAGGTCGACTTTCCGTGTCCACCAACCCGGATGAAGCGCCGGAGATTCGCGTTTCGTCCTCTCAATTTCGTAAACAACACCCCCGCCTCGAGAAGACAGTGAGTAGGCCCCATTAGTTAACAATACTTTAATTTCTACACAATCGGCTTAACAATATATAAGAACTTTTAAGCTAGGCAGTTATGAGGTATCACTGGTGAAAATAAGCAGCTTAAAGGAACAAGTTGATACTACAACCTTACTACAGCCTTACCAAAATCATGAAGCTCCGTAGCATGTGACTAGTTCTTAAAACTGTATTTGAAGATTATGAAGATTTATAGCTCATGTGGACAACTTTGATGGAGTTTCTCTCTCCAGCTCAAATGAGTTCAAAAAATTAATTAAAATTGCTGATTCACACCATATATCAATGAGTTTAGGATATTATCACTGGCTATCTTACATAAATATAGGTCAGAAAAAAAGAGAAATACATGATCTATATTACTAATAAATGTACATACATTAATCAGTGTAAAAATAACCATTTAGAAATGTTGAAAACAGAAACTGAGTCTAACTTCCAATGTTTGCAAAAAGCAAAATTCGTCGCATAAAAGTAATCTCTGTGATGACCAGCTGACTTACTGATTTTCGCTAAATGTCTTACTCTCGGGTACTTAATGAAATACTTAACTAAAACCTCTATCTCTTCAGATACACCACAGTCTGAAGTGTAGGAAACGTTTTACCCTCGGCCAACAGAGGCAACTTAAGACAATGATATTTTGTACTTGACCAATATGTGATCGGGAAAGGTGAAATATGATCGACGTCACACATAAGAACTAAGCTTAACACGTATTAAAAACTACCACGCATAATCCTTGGACGTGTTGTTGAGTTTCACTTTACATTATGAGTATCAGGAGATTTAGACGACTGGCATCTTAAATGTTAATAGCGTCAGAGAGATTATGTTAAGCATGGAAAGCGAAAGAAATCTAAAGAAATTACATGGGTAAAGTTAATAGTAAAAATAAAAAGATAAAAGTCCACTACTAAAATTGGTTCTTGATAATATGATATTGATGCCTGAAGTACATGGACTTGAGTAAAAAATTTCTTTGTGTATTTCAACAGCTTGGAAACGCTAAAGGAGTCAGTCATCAATCAACAACACAAATAGTAAAGGAGTCGAAATAGTCATATAATCAGTAGTAAATAAATTTGGACACTAAATTGTCAGCTTTGAAATAGGCGGAATCTTTTAAAATTATACTTCTATACTGCCTAAATAAGTCACAGTAATATTTGACATCTCTAATGCAACAAGTTTGTTACATGAATTAATCTAACTTTCTAGTTGCCATGACATATATGATAACATCACAAGTTCCTAAGCTGGACAAACTCAATGACTCCATCTATGCGACTAAATGTACTATAGTGACGAAGGTTGTAGTCTGAGATTGTAGGAATCCCTTTATATAGGTTTGTCGAGTAAATTCTTAGAGTGGGGTCTATTAAAGCTCCGCATGCAGCGAAACCACTTGCCAACAGGAATTTATTGACAGTGGGATTAAAATTGATCAAAAAACACATGATATAATCTAAAACATTTTTGTATGCAAGGTTTTGAAGCAGAATCCAAGTTGTAGATAATCAGGTGAAGTCATAATACATATCACTTATGACACAGAGGCAAGGAAACTCAGCTTAAAGACCATGAACGAAGACTGTATATTTCTTACCAGGATAAAATTCATCTTGTTTTGATATCTTGACCTTTGTATTAGTATCCTTTTGAATCCGGCCGATGGCCTCGCCAGACTTCCCAATGACTGCTCCAGCAGCAATTGATGGAACCAAGATTTTCAGCTGGACATTATCCTCTTTAATATGAAACATAGTTTTTACCGGTTATAAACATGAATTGTCATATAGATAACAAGTTTGAAAAACTTACCACAGTTTGGACGTTTCGGACTAGTATCTGGGTCCATATCTTTCTCCCGAGGTCTTTTCCTGGAATCGCTGCTGTCATCAGAGCTTGAGTGACTTCCTGACATTCTGTTAACAACAACCTCTAATAGTATGGCAAAGTAAATGCTTAGTCTCTTGACATCACGTAAGATTAATTTTAGGGACTGTAACGTCTGACTTGAAGCCAGCTCCAACAGAAGAGAGCCTTCAATTTTCGCATGTCGAAAACATGCGACGAAATTCTTCACTTCCCGTGTTTACGATAACAAAACATAAACTGTAAAAAAAAATTGTCTGAAGTTTGACCTTCAGTCAACGGAGTAGAATAAAAACATCCAAACAAGGTCTCCTGTATGCCGGATGATAGGACCGGAATCCCCTATATATACCATCATTAACTGCCTTATCCAAAATTATACGTTCGGTACAATATGGACTTCTTAGAACACAATGTTTCAAAAGGTTTCGCCTAAAAGATCCCAAAACAATCGATAACTGCATACATAAGTAAACGCACTATTTAAAAAAGTGGTATTTTTCCTCACTGGGTTAATTTTGTTGCTTTGATGGCTTATCGCGCATCAAGACTACTGTTTTGGCTTTATTGGAATTTATTTCAGGTAAAGTAATCGTCAAGAGTATCTTTCTTCATAAGCAATTTTCCATCTGCACTTGAATACATTGGTTCTTCCTTTACATGATACACGTTTTTTCCTCTTTTAAATGGTCAACACTTTTTTGTCTTCGGGTGTTGTTTTTACTTACTCATTTTTTGATAGCCTCTGATTGATGACCATACAGTGCTAAGAAGCAACAATCAACGTCTGGACTGTTGATACTCTGTGGAGAATGACATGCAGTGCGGTGAGTCTGAAGGATGTTACTACGAAGTTTGCACGCACCTCTCACCTGCGGCTTTTAAACAGTTTAGTGGAAATGGTAGCATGTGATTGTGTTATCAGTGCTGCTAGAACGCAGACAGCTCGCTATCCAAAAACCATTTCAGTAGTGAATGCTGGTAAAAGGAGTAAAGTAAGCGTAATCGAGATGTACCAAATGGTAATCGATCTGTCGATACACAAATCTATGTGAAGTTACACCAAAAAGGCTCTGAGTCTGTTGATTCGCACGAACTTCGCATCGACTTCAGAGATGTCTGTTAGAGATAAAAGATCAAGGAAGAGAAATCCTTCTGTCCCTCGCTCTCCCATTGTCGATAGGCGGGAAACCCCTATAAAACCTAGGTTCAAGGTTGGGCTCGTTTCTAGCAGGAAAAACAACAGCCTGACCACCCAAATCATCAACAATCATCTAGCATCCCACAGTTTGCGTAACGCGACTTTGATTGTTATTCCAATGTAATTCGATGAATGGGTACGGATCACAAATATGAATCGACCTAATGTTAAGGGAAAGCCGGTCTCCCAGACAGCAGTTGAGGGCTGACGGTAGTGACATGCCAGGGTCAGGACACCAAACTCACTTTGAGCGATTAGTTGATAACAGATTTATTTACCCAGCTAGTGTCCCAACTTCTTGCTTAGATCTATGTAAAACACATCTATTTGAGCACTGCTATCCTCATCTACATCACCAACCTCTCTTGCAATGAGGAGAATAGTCAAGTACAAATACCCTTCACTGAAACAATGTTTTTCCCCTTCCTAAACATTATAATAATAATAATTTATTCCCAAATAACAGTTTGTTACATGAGGCATGCCAGTTTACAGGCAAGATCAAATTGATACAAATGATACAATATACACTGTAATAAATTACATAGCTGGGTTGATAATTTATAAGATATGAATGTAGATGGTTTTAATCAGTACCACAGTCGGCACGCTTCATGAAAGTTGCGTTGCGAATGTGCGACTGATGGTCAAGGATAGTTCCATTGAAGGTATGAGCTTTTAGAAATCGCAAGCTTATGTCCCTTTGGGATATCAAAGGCTTTAAGGATGGTGCAGGATGAAGTCACCAGTTCCATATCTCAAGGGGGCTGAAAGAAGTAGCAAGTAAAAGAAAATAGGAGAGGCAGAGTAGGCAATATTCATGAAGGAATGTTTAAGGTATGTTACGAAAGAGCATTTTAATAAGTTAAAGAAAATAAGTGTTGACAAGGTGTGAGTGGACATACAACTGACAAATGAGGGCGATTCGGAAAAGACCTGAGAGCATAAGATTATGTGTGATTATAAAATAAAATATAGTGCTAGAAACAGTATTGTGATATACAATTGGCTGTCTTCCCTTTATTATCGAAGCTATTAGAGCCTCTTTCGTTTTTATAAAATATTTTTCCCTAGTTATTATAGGTTCTTGAGTAGGCTTCGTATATTAGCGAATTGTCTAGTTTGCTTGTAATAGGATTTCTGGGTAGGAAGTGAAACCAATTCAACGTTCGTAACACGACTTAAAGAGGTATTTTGCGTGATAAATCAGCTTCAATACCATAAGTTTGTGACATCCCACTAAACCATAAGGAGCCGTAATTAAACACATAGTTTGCAACAGCCGTGTGAATAATATTACCCCATTAATTTGTAGTGTGGAATCGAGTCGAGATTGACTATGGACGCCACTACAAGGAAACGCGTACCAAACAAATCAGAAGGCGAAGGTTGAACGTAACCAGATTTGGCGATCTCGTGGTATCGAACGAATACCAAGATCGTGCCATGAAATGGCACAAGCGAAGCAGGAGAATGGAGTACGTGCGAACAGTAGCAAAAACGGCGCAACAATAATGGAAGGTAATGGAAGCACAAAAATGGCTGTAACTAGCACAGTTAAACAAAAGCACATTAAAACAAGCACTGGTATAGCTGGTTATAATAATAATTGTTTTCATTAAGCCAGTCGTGTTCTTATGATAAAAGTGAGTCACTACAGGAGCCCCGGCTAGAAAGGGTTTACATTTTCGATAAATAGCGGTTTAGATCGTGGGACAGATCGGCTGGCGAGAGATTGTACGACAGAAGAATTGGCAGAACAGAAGAGCGATCGTTGATCGTCGAGTTGCCAACGAAATTCTTTTTCGGAGAACGAAACCAGTTGACATACTATACCAGAGTGGTTTGTATCCAGAATCTGAAGATTGCGTTCGTAAGGGTCCGGACCAGAAAACGCTGCAGACGTAGGACGAAACCACGTTGAGCCGAGGAACCAGAAGCGACTACAACGACCAAGTTCGAGACCAATCGTATGCCAAACATTAAAACCCAAAATATCTACTGAATGCGTTGACAAGAGCGACGGTGTTCAGGCCAGCTTTCGCCAAAGTTGACTGAAGTCGACGGCACCAAACGGGGATCGTCGGAGGCGTGTGCTCAGAGAACAAAATGAAAATAAAAAAAGTGTAGCGTGCATTTAGTCTCAGGTTATCGGATAGGGCACTGTTATCACGTGGAAAGGGCCTTCGTAAGGTTGTTGCAAAGGTTTGCGTACCAAATCTACTCGTATGAAAACATGTGAACAGGTAAATAACTCTCGATGGAGAGTGACCTGTCGATGTTGTATTCGAGTTGACACCGGAGGCAGCGTTCGCATAAATGCAGACAGCCGTTGGACGTAGTCTGATTTATCGAAATCGTGTCTGCTCCGTGGTGTAAAGAATTCCCCAGGCAGACGCAATGTCGTGCCGTACACAAGTTCAGCGGCGGAACATTGGATATCTGCCCTCAAGCTCGTTCTTATGCCTAAGAGGTCTCGTACCAATTGTCGTTTTCGTGTGCTCGTAGAGCACTTTTAAGTTAGCAATGAAACCGCTCAACTTAGCCATTTGGGTGGTAGACGGTAATGCGTATGCGTTCTGTACGAAGCAGCCGGGTCAACGAAAAGAATAGTTAATAAGTGAAATCTTCTCGAATAAAGCGTGGAATTTACCTTCACGCGAATAAAAAGTGCCAAGGATTCGGTACACGTACATGGGAGTCTAATATAATAATACTATTCTTATCGTTATCCGTCCTGTCGAGTATATTATATGTTGAAAGGTAATATGAAAATATACGACAGACGTGGATAGATAAATAACAGACTCACCAAATTGACTTCTTTGGGCGATTGAACCAGAAATTGCGGCGTGTTTCAGATTTCTGCTCACCAGTCGTAGCGTGGTGTCGAGTCGTAGTAGACTGTGAACACCGCTACCAAGGAACACGCGCCATGTTGATCCATAAAATCTCCCGGAAGCCAAGTATCAGAAGGCAGTTAATGAACCAAGTCGAGATATATTTGCTGGCGATCTCGTGGTATCGAAAGAATACCGAGATCGTACCAAGATACAAGCTTGGTTACAGAGCGTAACCGAGTTCACAATCAAAATGTGTAAATGGATGTTTTTAGCACAGCTAAACAAAAACACATTAAAACAAGCACTGGTATAGTTGGTTATAATAATAATTGTTTTCATTAAGCCAGTCGTGTTCTTGTGATAAACGTGAGCCACTGCAAGTTTGAAAAATACAGCGGTAAGACTAATAGGTCGATAGTAACAAACTAAGTCTTAAATCCCCAGTACATAAATCAAACAGATAAGTGCGTCCTTCCAGTCTCTTGACAGTTTAGACTGCACAAAAGACAATATCAATAATAATAATATATTCTAAAAATAATAGTTACAGAATTCATGTCAGTTTACAGGCATGATCAGCCTCATATAAATAGTAACATTAAATGTAAAGGACACGCATATGATATAAAATTGCCTAAAGTTTAATAGTTCAAAAATTGTTTAGGTAGCACATTGATGACCTGTATTACAACAATGCAATTCATCGGCCGGGAACTCTTCATTCTTCTTAATTGAACATCCTGTCTGTTTGTAAAAGATGCATTTGAGGTCATTTTATGCGTCATAATGAATCAAATATAATCATCTACAACAAGAGAAAAAACGAGAGCACGAAACAACAAAGTAATAATTACTAAAATACGTCAATCAGGTTTACCATAATGCATATGTCATGTGACTCAGTGATATACTGTTCATGTTAGACATTATTCAAGTTATTTAGGGTTACAAGGGACAGTGATAACGCTATGTAACAGCAGGTAGGTGGTTTACTCGGTGAATTCAGTAAGCAATTCAAATACCACTGCAAACGTTCAACAATTACAACCGATAGGGTTTTGATGATGCTGGGTTAAGTATCTTAAGGACCAGTGGAACTATCCGGTTTGAAATGTCGAAGTGTTCACACGACAGCTTCCTTCTAAAAAAAATACAAGATCCGTCAACAAGCCACACTCGTTATAATTAATTGTTGGTACGAACAACAGTCGGTAGGAAACACGTTACCAAAATATTTTGACAAGTCTTCATACCTGATAACATCGATTATTCATAATGTCCAGGGATTTTCAATTACCAAAAACAAGAAGTGTATTTCCTTAAAAATTCGAATATCGGGGAATTATATATAGACTGTTCTTATGTACGGAATTTTATTATATAAGGATTG